GTGGGAAAGACGTGACTCAATTCCAAACTAACATCCATAACTAGCTCAGTCAAATTGATGGAGTCCGCCTTGTGTGTGGTCACCTACCGAGCATCGCCTTCCTGTGGAGATTGACACCATCTTCCGAGTGCCAATGGAATGGAGCACACGGAGGAAGCCCAGCGCCGAACGTCGATTTTTGTTGCCCAATGGGGGTTGGCTTCGGCGTGTTGCTGTGCCCCCCCTGGAGGAGATTTCAGGGGCTGCACCGCTGAGCAGCAGCGCCATTGGTCACCCCACTATTGCGCCTCGGGAATCGATCATAGGGCTGAGAACGGATTTCAGCCCTGATATCATGCACGTGGGATTTCGGATGCGGGCAGGGCATTTTCTCTTGAAGAAGCTTTGTCATCGAGGAAAGCCTAATGTATAATTGATACATCTCCGAAACCTAATGTGCCTGAGTCGGATCGACAGTTGCAGGCCTTTCGCCTCGGCCGCTCCCTGTCATGTACGGGGAAAAGGAAAGCCCAATCACAACAACAGCTCGGCTCTGTGGTCTAGTCGTATGATTCGCGCTTCGGGAGGAATTCCATCTCATCAAATGAGACTGTGCGAGGTCCCGGGTTCAAATCCCGGCAGAGCCCATTTTCTTAATTTTTTGTGCGTCCATCTCCTTTTTTTCTGTACTCCCTCGTTCTTGGGGATTCTCCTCCTCCAGGCTCTAAATAGTCTCTTCGAGATACCTGCGAGGCTGCTTCTCTCGATAATCAGATCTTGGTGCCGCTTGTCGCCCATCACTCACTTGGTAAAAAGGGAACTGACCGACACGACAACAGCCCGGGCCGGGTATGAACCGCCCTACAGTGGTGTCACATGCCCTGAAGCATAGGGGGGCATTCCGATTTTCGGTCTTGTCTCGCCTAGTCCATCCGCCTTCCATCCAATTCTTGCTCCCTACGACAACGACCAACCGACCGAGCCTCGACACCCACAGCTTGCCCATCGTCACGCCCATCCGATCGCTCCGTTAGCTAACGACGCCGATCCTCCGATCTGCCCTCCCATCACCTCCCCGCCCGGGATGACGAGTTCGATGTCCGGTGCCTCACGTCCGATATCGAGCCCTCCCTGACGCGTTTAGCTGGACGTAACATCAGCAGTCCCGCCTCCCATCCAGATATCCAATCGCCAATGCTTTGCCCATGGAGTACACGCGCTGGAATAGAAGGGAAACTCTGGCCCATCAGCTGCCCTCAGCGATCATTCACCATTCGTGGCACTTTAGGCGCGAATCTGGGTCTGGATGCAGATGTGTTGCAGCGCATCATTAGCCGCTTAGCAGCCATCGAACGCCCCCTATCGCGCTCCAGGTCGGGCTTGCAAGCGCAAGCGAATCGGCCTCCATCTGGTTGATGTCATTCCCTTCCCTTTTTCGGCACTGATCCCTCCGTCTTATGGCGAGTGTTGCGTATTTGAAGTCAAATCAGGCATCAACCTCAATCATTCACTCTCATCTTCCCAATCCTCCCGAGACACAAGCCAGGTGGTTTCCTGACGACCGCGAAATCCCTACAACATGCTCTTCCCTGCGTCCATCACTCTCTCCCTCGTCGCCATATTCCCTTGGTGCGCCTCCGCATCAATGCGCCCATGGGAACTCACCCGTCTCTCCGTCTCTGGCCTTCCCTGGCGAGGGGAGGAAGGGCTCCATGAGCCCCTCAACACCCTCGCCGTCGAGGTCCGCGACCCAAACGAATACGCCATCTCAGAGCCAGTGGTCCAGTGCATCACCAAGTTCCCCTACGCCTCGCCTCCATATCACCAAGCCTTCAACTGCACAAAGGTGCCATACGGGCGGTGGGACTTTGCCTTCTTCCCCCCCAATCCTCCACAGGACAACGCGGAGCCACAATACTGGAACCCAGGACAGGACTTTACACTTGAACTGCGGTTGTTCCCCATGTCCAGCAGCTCGTGGTTCGGGGGTCAGGTCAACTTCTCCGTCTCGGCCGGTGGGAATCTGCGCGGGTTGTGCTCGGCTGGAGGAGTCTGCTCATTCATGGTCAAGGAGGAGATGTTACCTGTCTATGTACAGCAGAAGGAGGGATGAAGGCTTGTTCTGATGAATATCAGCGCAGCTTTGCAATGTCGAGGGACCAAGAGGACTCTTCTTGAATTTTATCGCACGCTTTGCTGGGCCAGACAATATGGGGGGAGCCGGGCGGGTTGGTGGAGGACCCCCCGCGGCCCCGTTCGAGGTCAGCCTGGTGGACCTGTCCCCGAATCGCCGCAGTCCATACGTAGTCGTCTATTGGTGCATTATCGAGCGGTGCACTGCCATCATGAGACAGCTAAGTCCTTCAATTGCACAACCCCGCTTTCCAAATCTCTCCCCTCCAGCCTGCGCAAATATCAGGCGACATCGTCCGCCCAGCATGCGCCTCCTCAACACGTCCACGTTGGGCATGAAGGACTTTATATCCGACCACGACAGACCCCTATACGCCATCCTGTCTCACACCTGGGGCGAGCAGGAAATATCCTGGGCGCAGTGGCAGAACCGGCATGCCTCGCCCATCGAGGCAACACTTGGGGGAGCAAAGATTCTCGATTGCTGTAGGCAAGCCCTTGCCGACGGATTCGCCTGGGTTTGGGTGGATACGTACGTCGCCCGACATGTCTTCTTCAACGCTGAGAGACGGTCGCTAACTCATTTAGTTGCTGCATCGACAAGTCGAGCAGCGCCGAGCTGTCAGAGGCCATCAACTCCATGTTTCGATGGTACCGCGACGCTGAAATCTGCTACGCCTATCTCTCGGATGTCCCCAACGCGCCACCTTCCTCTAGAGAAGCTTGGAGTCACATGCGGAAAAGCAAGTGGTTTACTAGGGGTTGGACCTTGCAAGAGCTCGTGGCCCCAAAGGATCTTCGTTTCTACTCTGAGGACTGGCAACCCCTCGGAACGAAAGCTCAGTTCGCCGACTTGATCAGCAGCATGACGCACATCAGCATACGCTTCCTCTTTGGAGACAACCTGGATCTTGCGAGCATCGCACAAAAAATGTCGTGGGCGGCAAATCGACAGACTACGCGCCTGGAAGACCAAGCCTACAGCTTGCTCGGAATCTTCGATATCAACATACCCTTGCTCTATGGGGAAGGTTCCAAGGCTTTCCAGAGACTGCAACACACCCTGCTGATAACATATCCCGAGGACCAAAGCCTATTTGTGTGGGGAAAAATTGTCAGCGGCCATGTCGAAAATCCCCCGGTCCTGGATAGTAGCGTCCTCAACCCTGGGCCGATGCCTTGGAGGCCTCCCAGCGCAGGCTCAGAACTTCACGGCATTCTTGCGACCTCGCCGGCCGACTTTGCTGAATCTTACAACGTTGTCCCCTGCCGTACCGCTGCCGAGCGTTTTTACCACGACTCGAATTACCGAGCACAACTTCCGTCGTTGGCAGGCAACGGCACAGTCAAGGCCCACTTCGCCAGGGCCCCGGGCAAATCTATTACCACCATCAAGAAGTACTTAAGCGATCCACCCATCGCTCAGCTGAAAGAAGTGGCGAGCTGTCTGATACTCTGCAACTACGATGGCCTCCCGGAGTCTGCCGGCACATTCGCCATGAACATTGATTTTGTCAGCGCAGCAAAGTCGGTTCGCATCGGTAGCATCATTTACCTTTCAATCCAACCCCTCAGGCACCCGGACATATTCGATGAATTCAGCAAAAACCCCAGGGCGTATTCCTTTCTCACTAGTACAGCCCACCTTTCTTCCATGTTCCTTCCCGGCGATATTATACAGCGCCGATCTGTAGTTTCCCCGAAGTCGGGCGTGATCGCCCATGAGTGGTGGAGCGGCTTACAGGTCGGCTTTTCCCTTTTCTCGGAAGCGAAGCTGGCGAGGGCCGGGAATGTTAGAGGAGAGATTTTCGCAAAGCAGTACGGCTTCAAGGACAAAAAAAGCCGTGGCTTTGGCATCCTGGTTGAGCGGGTTACGTCTCCAGCTCATGAGGACGGGACATGTCTCAAGTTTGCCATCGTTCCTTGCCAGTGCGACACGACGGATCCTCCGGTCACAGAGAAGAGGGACGGTGTCAGTCTCGTGTGGTATACGCACCCCTTGACAAGCTTCCGCTACGGTCCGATTGTCACACTGCGTGATTCGGGGCATCTCGTGGGCAACGGGGGGAGGGGGTACTCTTGGACGGTTGAAGAGAAGCCGTTTCCTAAAATATTTGTCAGTATAGAAAAGTTTCCCCTACGCGCAGGGGGCTTCGTCGACGTTGTAGATTTCATTGTTGGGCCTGAAATGGGTGAATTGGAGACTGCAAGTCGTCGTGGTAGGGGTCAGCCGCTACAACGGCGATTCTCGTAGGGACACAAATGCGGGAGCAATAAACACTTACCGCCGCCCATGTTAGACAACTTGACCTTGAAGCCCTTGGCGTAAGGTGTGAATGGCATCAGTGGCTACGCGACGCAAAGATACCGAGGGGCCCATAGATATTGTTTCCCGTCAAGCCTCTGTATCGAGGTTGAGGTCGATACATTTTGCTCATTTTGTTCTTGCTGGAAGACGTCCTCGGGCTTCGAGTTGATGGTTTCGTCGAGGGTAAAGAGGATGTTTCCCGGCTGGAAATCCCCGTAAGTGATGCCGTTGCCGTGAAGAAAGGAGGGCTTGGAGAGACTGTCGGAGGATGCCTTTTGCCATGCGAGGCGGATAGCAGATGTTCGTTCCGAACATCGGCGGATTGAACTGGGGCAGCTTCTCAACCATGATGTTCACACTCGGGCTCATAGGCTTGAAAATGAGGTATATGTGGATGCCATATAGGCTAGTGTGTTTGAACTCGTCTAGTAGCTGCGTGATATACTGGGCTCCATCTACTGGCGTAGCTTAGTAATGTGTCGTAAGATTTGTAGCTCCCTTATGGGAGCACCCACCCCTGGTGGGGAGCATGAGAGCGTGTCGGAAGAAAACAACATAAGTCTATTATATAAGCAGAGCATCGGGTATAACGTAACGGTTAACCTATCGCCCTTAACCCGCGAGGCCCCAGGTTCGACTCTAGGTATCCGAAAATGTTTAGGCGGTTGATGAATTCTGCCTTTTTTGTTCGCTGACCTTCGGTATGGGTTGGTTTGAGTGTGCTGAGGACATTATTGTGAGATTCGTTGGGTGGGGTCAAAGGCTGCAGCGGCGACACGAAAGGGTTCAAAGGCATCAAATTGTGGACATTAAATGGGACTGTTCTTGACATAACCGGAGTAAGGATGGTGAGAAGAGCTGCGCACGACAAAAGGCTGTCCCTAGTAATTGCAGATCCCGCCAACCTCGTCGTCAATGGTCCACGTTCCTGCCAGACCCTTGACTTCAACCTCCTCTGTGTGGACCGGCGCCCCGTTCTCCTCCTTGCCGGCGAAAAAGTCACCCTGGCCCTCGGTCCGGATCTGGCGGCTCATGAATCGCTGCGCCCACTGCTCAATGGCAGGCTCGCCCGTCTCGTCGCGCGCCTGCTTCAGGAAGGAGATTAGGGCGGTACCGCCAGTGCCCTTGAGGTTGCTCTGTTTGTTGTGACCGTCGGGCTTGGAAGCGGCTGCGTGGGCATCATAGGCAATGCCCTGTGGCTGGCGAGAAGCCGTGGCGAGGTTGACCTTGCGGCGCGTGGCCTCGGGGCTCCGGCTCCGGCTCCGAGCGCGCACCTCGCGGCTAGGAAGCACAATGTATCGCGTGACAATGGCAATGTGCTTGTCACGGAGGGCGCTCAGCATCGAGAGACAGGCATCGTACGCCAGGCAGAGGGGACGGTTGCTGCGGTGCGACTCGACAAAGTCGCGAATGTTGGCCACAGCCTGCACGTCACTGAGAAAGCGTGCGTGGGGGCCCGGCATGTAGCGGCGCATCTCCATGATGAAGTTGTGCTTGGGCGGCGGCGCGTGCCCCTGGCGCTCCGACTCGACGCCGGGATGGCGCTTTTCGCCCGTCGGCCGATGCTGAATGCCGAGCACAACGTCAAAGAACTGGATCAGGCTGCTCTGGGCGTTGCTGCCACCAGCATACTGCCGGAAGGGTTCGTTGCCAGAGCCGTCCTCGTACACCACGCCATTCGGCAGTCCGGCATCAGCCATGTTCTTGCTGCCGGCCAGAAAGGGACGAATACGATGGTAGAAGACGGTGGGGTTGCAGCTCTCATGCATGCGCACCAGCAGCGTCGTGATGTCATCGAGACGTTCGGCGAAGCCGTGGAGACAGCGGGTGACGGTGACCGCATCGTTCTCGCGAGCCGCGGCGATGGCCGACAGCATGAGCGAGATGATGGGCCCGCCTCGAGCCTCCATGGCAACCGAGACGAGGTAGAACCACGACTCGTCGATGGCGCCGGTGAACGTGTTCAGGGTCGCCAGGTTCTCCAGGTTGTCAATGTCCTCGTCGATGAAGAGCGGCTTAAAGTTCCAGAGGCAGAGTGATGCATAGGTGGCGACGGGCGGCACCTCGAGGTGTCGAGAGACCTCGAGCAGCGGGACTGCGATGGAGGGTGGCAGACGATCACTGGGACTATCACCGCCCCAGATGTAGCCGTGAGCCATGAAGGTCAGCAGCGAGTAGGCCCTGCGCCATTCTGCGTCATGTTCCAGACCGATGGTGGAGAGCACGGGGAGGCGATCGACGACGCCTCGGAGTCGCTTGCTGAGGATGAGAGCCTGGAGGTTGGCGGCGATGGCCTCCCATTTGTTGTAGTAGGGGTCGGGGAGTCTCGTCAACGGCAGGGTGTCCGGAAGGAAGCCATGGGTCGGAGAGATTCCATAATCGGCCAGTAGCGGGATGGGCGGGAGCATGGCGCTGCGGAGTCGAACGAGGTGTTCGTGGCTCGGAGGATTGGTGTGGTTGTTGCTTAGTGCTACCAAGGCCGAGCCGACGATTGGCTGAGATGGAGATCGAGAGGTGAGTTTGTTGTGATTTGAGCGAATTGAAGAGTCGCGGTCGATGATGGATCACACGAAGAGAACCTGACGCAAGGAGTATACAGATTGACTGTAATACTCCTCAGCCGTGCGAAAGTTCGAGTGGTTCGTGAGCATCAATGTGGTCAAGAAAGGAAGGACCGGGTCCTGTGTGAATGGTCGATCGAAGCTTAGACAAGGAGGGACGATGGGTGATGGCGACAATGGTAGGCGAAAGTGATGGGGAACGGGGAAGGGTCAGGTCATGGGAGATGGATCGGGGGAACAGACTTTATTAATCGGGCCCGCGGGATGTGTGGATGAGTCCACGGCGGCCAGAACGAAGTCGGAGGGAGGTGGTGTGGATTAGGGGCCTGGAGATGATATGACTGATGGGCAGAGAAAAACTTTGCCCCTCGTCCTGTAATCACTTCATGGGCCATGGGCAAGGCGCCAAGTTGCAAAGCGCCGGGAGAGGAACGTGACTGGCGCGCCTGATTTGTCGCAAGGACCCAAGTCAGATGCTAGACGCCAAAGCAAGAGTCGGCGGCATCGATTCGGCTTGTGGGGAAGACGAAAAATGTCTCAACTTCCGAAATGTGACAAAGAGCCCGTGTTGGAGGGCTCCGACCACGGGGCATCCCGCTGTTTGGGTCGTGTCTACGCGGCGGGACCATCACGATTGACCCTGAAGCGGATGGTGGCAGCATCAGGGATCCAATGACAATGGAGCCCTGATTCAGCAGTTAAAAGGGACCCTAAAGGGCGCGTGGGTGAAGTGTGGCAGTGTGGGCAGTGTGGTGGCAACGACATTGGAAATCGGGATGGCGGGAAGAGTCGGGGCCTTGCAGACTCAAACCAAAAAGTAGCGTGCTCGATGGTGTGCGGTATCGGCGAGTCAATGACTTTGACCTGCTGTTCCCACAAATCGTGGTCTCTGTCTACCTCCCATGCGTTGAAAAAAGAATTGGAAATCGGCTTTCGTCCTGACGAAATCTCGATTCCCATGTGCAACGGATGGGCCGCTGAGGACCCCGCCGTGCCCGCTGGTAGCCGAAAAACAGCGCTAAGCCCAGTGTGGTCTGGACCCCCAAGGGCGGCCTCACATCACCCGCATGCCAGCCTCGTCATCCCCGCCAAGGCTACAGTGGCAGGGGTTGTCACTCCGCAGCGACGCCATCTCGACGACACCACTCCTCCAGCAGCAGGGCACTGCTCGAGGCCACCGTCGCGCTCCTGGTCCCATCCATCATGGTCGTCCAACAACACGTTCTGAATTGGCTCTACAGTGTCCTCACCAGCGTATGAGACCTCCCCCCCTTGACCGCGATCCCGATCGACGACGCTGACCCTTCCTCCCCCTCCCTCCAGGAATACAGCAATGTCAACCGAACCTACAACGACGTGGCCCAGGTGCTGTCTCAGTATCCTTCGCTCTCTCCACGAACCGATGTCCACAGTACGCACGCAGTTTCCAAGCGTCATCGCTAGCTCCATGACCCGTCGCTGACAGACTGGCCTCAGCATTCCCCAACGGCACATCCGCCCTCCTCCTCCATCTGACGGGCACCATCCCCGTCGTCTTCCGCGGCACGACATACCGATTCCCGATATCACTATGGATACCCTACGCCTACCCCCGCGAAGCGCCCCTGGTCTACGTGACGCCGACCGAGACCATGGTGGTGCGGCCTGGGCAGCACGTTGATGCCCAGGGCCAAGTCTACCATCCATACCTACTTGGATGGGCTGGATTCTGGGATGTACGTGACATTGGGATACTCAAAATGGACAGAACTGACTGCCAGTAGAAGTCGACCATCCTCGACTTCCTCACCATCCTGCGCGATGTGTTTGCCAAGGAACCGCCCGTCATCGCGCGCGCCCAAGGCCGACAACCCCCTCCTGCTCAGGAGCAGACCCCGACGCCCCCTCCCGTGCCGCCTCTCCCACCCGGCATGGCACCAAGAGTCACAAGCCCGGTCGAGCATCACATCCGAGAGGCTCCAGCCAGACCCCCCCTCCCACCGAAGCCCGGGGCGCATGCCGAACCCTCGCATTCTCAGTCGCATTCGCAACCACAGGGACATCCTCAATCGACTGGCCCTCACTTGCCTCCACATCCCCCACAGAAGCCCACAAGCTACTCACATCCCGAAGACTCGAGAACACCACCGGGGCAGCACCAACCAAGGCCCGAGTCATGGCGCTACAGTCAGCCACCCCCTCTGGCGCCGCCGCAAGGACACTCCAACCCTCACCTCCAACACAGCGGGCCGCTTCCCCCACAAGCCCAAGGCCCTCCCCACGGCGCTCCTCCCCATGGCGGCCCTCCCCAACAATGGTCCCCGCCCCCTGCCCAGGCTGGACCTCCCCAACAACCTCCTCAACCCGCATACGCACCCAACGACCCGCGGAATCCGACAGCCTTCACCCATCCGCAGCCCTACCCAGTCGGCCAACCCAATCCCGGCAGCCGCTATCCTCCCGCCTGGCACCAACAGCAAACCCCCGCCCACCAACAACAACACCCCGCCCATCAACAATACGCCCCCGCCCAACCCCCATCGCAACCCAAACCCGCCCCCCCTCCCGCCCCCAACCTCCTCGACGAAGACCTCACCCTCCCCATCCCCTCCCCGTCCACCACCTCCGTCCCCGCCCCGCCCATCCCCCCCAACCCCGAAAAAGACCTCCTCCTCCACCAGCTCGCCCACACGCTCCACGACCTCCGCCAGCGCGCGCGTGCCCAAAACGACGCGTCCCTTGCCGGCCTCGAGTCCCAGCGCGCCGCCATGCGCGCCGCCGCCGCGGCGTTGCAAGCCGAGTCGGCGCAGCTTGGCCAGCTCTCGGCGCTGCTAGCGTCCAACACGGCGGTGCTACAGGAGAGCCTGCGGCGGGCGGACGGCGTGGTGGAGCGCTCGGCGCGGCAGCCCGAGCCGGACGTGGACGACCTGCTGGTCGCGCCGCACGTGGTGGGGAACCAGCTCTACGACCTGGTGGCTGAGGAGCGGGCGCTGGCGGACGCCATCTTTGTGCTGGGGCGGGCGGTCGAGCGGGGGAGGGTGGCGCCGCAGACGTTTGCCAAGATGACGAGGAGCTTGGCGAGGGAGTGGTATCTCAAGAAGGCGTTGGTCAA